GGCTATGTTGGACCCGACCTCCATTTATCGTAGACTGGCGGTGGCCTGCGCGTTGTTTGACCTTGCACTACCATTTCGTCAACACCTCTTCTCTGACAGAAGCCGTGATCATTTCCTTTAAAAAAGGATTCTAATCTCCCTGCCTTGGACACTAAACTGGCCAGATCTTGAATGTCGTGAGCCGTCAAAGCCTCCCGTAATGGTGCATGCATATTCCTGACCACCAAATTGGTCATTTCTTTTCATTGATTATAGTAAGACAACGTCTTTTCATCAATCGCACCCTTTCGATAAACTGTGAGGACTCTTCTGGATATTGTTTCAATTCCAACATATCGGTAAGAGAAACAGTTGGCAAATGATTAAAGAATCTAGCATGAAAAGCCAGATAACGCTCCCACGTTTGTATTTGCCCAGGTGGCAGATTTACAAACCATGAAAATGCTGTCCTGGTGAGAGACAATCCAAAACAGTTGTAATTTGTAAAAAGGATTGTTACCCTAACTGTGCTATGAACCGACCCACATGTTCTATGGTGGAGGATCCGTCTTCTCCTGAGAAAGCATGAAAGTCTGGCGGTCGATAATTCCTCGGGAGAGGATAATCGTTGATGATCCTTTCCGGAAATGGCCTCTGATACACCGGTTGGTTCACCGTTTGCGGATTCATTCCGAAATGTACCCGCAAGACTCGAGCGATGTCCTCCGGATCTATCTTGGGTGGAACAGAATCGAACACATGAATGGGAACATGAACCTGTTCCCCCAACCTCTCTTCTCTGGGGACGGTTGGCTCGGCTGGGACGGGATTATGAGCCTGTCCCCCCAACCTCTCTTCTCTGGGGACGGTATTGGGCTGAGTATTATCAACTCTTGGTCCCAAAGGAACATTGGCGGGGAAAGTTAGAAGAGTCTTCCCCCTATCTGTTCGGTTGAAAGTTGTGGCGCTTGGAAATGTACTATCCACGTACGAAGGCCCTGCGAAATTTGCCTGTAATCTGGATGGTGACATTCCTGGTGGTGACTGAGTGGTTTGAAGAGTAACCCTTGATAAAAACTTGATCTAACATGTTCTGCATGAGGTTCTGTTGCTCGCGCAACATCTTCTGCATCACCAAAGTTTGTTGATTGTTCAATTGTTGAACATAAGACACCCAGTCGGCAGGTGCTTGGGGGACTTCCCCTGCATTTGGTATAGCAGGTGATGAAATGGTTTCTCCCACCGGTGCTGAAGATGATTGAGATTGTGAACCTGCCATATGATTCCTTCTGATGATTCGGCTGGATCTCAATAGCAGGAAATCTCTTGACGTAGGATCAGCAATCTTGCCTTTCTCCCGCTGTGGTCGCCAATTTGTTGATGGGCTTTTTCAACAAACATAAAGTAAAATTCAAAGATAGGAATTATCCTAGAATTTGATTAATTAGTGCCTGAGATTAGAAATCTCTAAACACTGTACGGAAACAACAATTATTCTAGAAATTAAAAACTACAATACTGGAAATTAAAGTGGTGATCCCCGAATCTGACTTTGCTGTTGTTGAAGTTGATTGAAGATAATTGAAGAAGAAAAATCTAAATCCTTAAATATTCCCTGAAAAGACGTTTCAGAACCGTCGTCTGGTCGGTTACAGCAACCGCCCACTAATCCCTCCTTCAATGACACGTGTCTTCACCCGTCTGGCCAACCGCATACCCAACCGACCAATCCAGAAACTAACTGATGATCGCCAGACCAAACGACTCCTTGGCCGCCCCATTAAGCGACCACCATCTGGTCTCTTGCCCGACCTCGTATCGTCAATCTCATTCTTCTTCGCCCGACCTCACTTGGGCCGACCTCCGTATCAGCTGCTCTCCGTCTTCGCCCGACTTTAATTGGTCCGACCACGGACTAACCGACTACAGACCATCCGACTGCAAACCAACCGACAGCCGTATCAGCCGACCTCTGTAGCGGCCGACCTCCTTAGCAGCCTACTTCCCTATCAGCCGACCTCTGTAGCAGCCGACCTCCTTAGCCGCCGACTTCCCTATCAGCCGACCTCTGTAGCAGCCGACCTCCTTAGCCGCCGACTTCCCTATCAACCGACCTCTGTAGCGGCCGACTTCCGGACTACCAGACCTGCTTATCCGACTGCAGACTATCCGACCTAAGTGCCTATTTTCTCCTTTTTTGCCCGACTTCGGGTCTTACCTTCCTTTAAGACTCTGCTACCATTATTATTTATTATTATTATTTTTGTACGTAACAGAAATATTTTTAAAATGATCTGTGGAACGATTGGTTGTCGTATGGGCAATTGGAATGAAAGAAATGCAAGGTGCTTTAGAGCTTATACAATGCAATAAGTATAAAAAATACTTTCAATTGAGTAAAAAAACATAGGTGTGTTTTTAGTTTTTTTGTTTGGAATTTTGAATATTAAAAAGTTGAATTTGAATATGAATAGTTATTTAATGTGATACAAATAGATTTTGATGTGATATTTTTTAATGTCAAATAAATTTGTAGTATAATTAAAAAAAGAAAAGTAATTGTTTAATATGATATTTTTGAAGAAAAAAAAAATTTTAATAGTAAAAATATTCGGTAAAACCCACTAAAGAACACACCATGTTATTAAAAAATAATTAATTAAGAATTTAATAGTTATTATTAAATTAAATTATATATTAATTATTTAAATATATTATAACTTTAAAAATAAAAAAATCAAATTATAATTATACATAATATTATAATTTAAATCAAATATAATATATTAAATAATAAAATAAAATAAAAAATTACATTTTGTCCTCCGCACATGGAGGAGAGAGAAAATCAAGAGAATTGTTTTTCGATTTTTTATTCATTTTTTTAATTATTCTTTATGAGTTCCACTAATTGGTTCTTCGAGCATCCGTTGCAGAGATTGTTTTTATTTTATTATTATTTTTTATTTCGCTCATTCGCATCATATCCATTTCAATATTTAATTTATTTATTTATTTTTTTTTATATCATTCGTTATAGTAGTTATTTTCAACACATTACTTTTACTATTTTATAAGATACAGTAATTTATTTATATGTAACTTTATTACATTGAATATATAAATAATTTATTTATTTATACATATTTCTCTATATATTTTTATCGATTGATAATATTTTTATATAATATTGTATTATAATTTTTAAATATTAATTTATATTAATATATATTGAAACATATAATTTATAATTTAAAAAATTGAAATTATTCAAATAAATTAACATATATATTAAACAATTTTTGTTACGTCTTAAAATTTAAAATTTTGAAATTTTAATTTTTTTTAATAATATTTAATTTAAAATAAATATTGAATATTTGTATATGTTCTTAAATGTAATGAGAAAAATAACTAGTTGTTATAGTAAAAACTGAGAATACAATCATAAAGGTAATAGGAATGTGACTACAAGAGATTCTCTTATATGTTAAGAACTATGCATTGTGTGGAGAGTGAACTTATGACCGTGGAGAGTGAACTTATGACCGTGAGGTCATGGTTCAAATTCTGACTCATCCAGGTTCACTTGTATGACTTGTTTTGTTGAACCTAATTTGCAGGGTATTAAGTTCAACCGGAAGTTTATCCCGTGCACACTTTCGAATAGCAGCTGCGCTGCGTGTTTCCACGTTATATATATATATATATATATAAAACTATGCATTGTCTGTGCTCTTGGTTTTTTCCAAAAATTTTTAAAAAATTTATTGCAGTGACTTTTATTTTGATTAAAAAAAAAAAGAATTTGATTACTATTTGAAATTCATGCTATTCTTTCACTTTTTTCTCTTTTTTTTTTTTTTTTTTTTTTTTTTTTTTTAAACGAAGTTATTCTCTTTCTTTACCTATGAAAATACAGAGTTTGGACACCTAAGTCAACCAAACTTTTTTTTCTTTTCATTTGTCATGTGCTCTAAGTTGGACTACATTATCATATTACTCGGCTAGTTAGTTTATTTACTTAGCAATTATTTTATTTATTTAATGGTGTAATATATTATTTTCACCAAAATATATATATATATATACTTGAAATATTAAAAAATAAAAAAAACCACAAACATGCTGTAATATTAATATACGATTAGCCAATAGAAATATTAATTATTTCTATCGCTAACTATTATTTTATATATGATATATAATATATAATATAAAGTATATATACGTAGGTGTGTTTGCAGTATATAAATAGAAGATAGATATTATTATATATATATATACGTGTGGGTGTGTGTATGTAAGGTAAATATTATGTATATATTATATATTATATATATGTTTTGCATGTATAGATAGGAAAGAGAGAAATTAGAGGAGAGCAGTAATTATATCTCTTCATTCACAATCACCCCTATTTATAGGTAGTGTTATAATTGATTTATGGTTACAAATAGTGCAACGTAGTAAACGCGTAGCAGGACTGTGGAATTATACAAAAGCGTCCACGATACCTATGCGTATGTTATACATACGTATAACAAAACACAGATTTTTAGATTTTGGATCATCTTACAAACTTGAAATTTAACCTAATCCAATTTTTTAGATTTGAACTGATGTAATTTTTACAAAGCAGATTGAACATATTTGTGTTTTCGAATTATGTTTAAAATCGACACCCTCTAATCTTAATCTTATATTAATAACTCTTCCAAGTGAATTACACATGTATAATAAGAAATTGCTTGAAAAACAACTTTTGTTTGTCAAAAAGATTTGTTACACATCAATTTTGGATTGTTTGTGTTTAGTAATAATAAAGTTGCCATCAACACAATACATATTTTTTTATAAAACAACATTAGACTAAACTATATATTTATATGTACTTTATATGTCATATTTATATATACTTTGTCTTATTGATTTATTTTGACGAAATCAAATCAACACTATACTGATTTGGATAAGCGATGATGAGAGGGAATGTAATTTTGATCCTATATGGATGGATGAATGTTTGCATTCTCATTTGAAACCAACTCTTTTAGCAAAAGAAAGGAAGCATTGATTGGAACACTTGATCCAACTCAAATCAGCTCAACCTTATTTTCCCCAAAAAAATACATGTCCCAAATCTCATCCCAAAACTCTCTCTATATTAACCATTCATTCGAATTCGAATTCGATCAAACAACGTTACCTGAACTCCCTCTATTCTGCACTTGAACTTGCCCTGCGCCATTCCTTTCTCCGTCGCCGTCGCTCTCGCTATTCTCCTTGGACATTTCCTCGAGCGACTTCCCCTTTGACTCGGGAACGAGCAACGTAAACACCAATCCGAGAACGTTAATACACCCGAGCACGATGAGCGAGTTCCGGACGCCGATCCCCGCCGGGTACCCCGCGTCCGTCTTTCTCGGGTCCTTCGGCTGCGCTGCATAGAGGAACCCGAACGCCCCGATTATCGCGCCGGCCTTCCCGCAGGCCGCCGATATCCCGTGGCACGTCGACCGGAACCTCGCGGGGAAGATCTCCGCCGGGACGACGAAGGTCGTCGCGTTCGGGCCGAAGTTGGAGAAGAAGAAGGTGAGCGAGTACATGACGACGAACCCGATCCGGTTCTCGCGGTGCGTCCAGTGGTCGTACGGGATGGCGAGCGCGAACATGAACACCGTCATGAAGAAGAACCCCATCAGCTGGATCGCGAACCTCCCGATCCTGTCGATGAACAAAACGGTGAACCAGTATCCCGGGACGGTGCTGCAGAGGGCGATCAGCGTCTGCGCTCGGGCGATGCGGAAAACTTCCTCGAGGGCGTTCATCGTCTGCGCCGCTGGGATCCATCCGATCGCACTGAAGATGTCCTTTTGAAACAGGTTCTGGCTGTAGAACGCGATGTCCAGGAGGAACCAAGTTGTCGTCGTGCCGAGCAAGTGCCATCCGTGGCGCCTCGCGAATTCCTTCGAAAAAAGGCCGAACTCGTTATTCCTCCCCGCCACCTCCGCATGTTTTTCGCGCTCCTCCTTAATCTCGACTTCCAAAACTTTCGACATGTCAGATTCGGCTTGTTTCAGATTCTTGGCGACAAGCGCAGTGTAGCGTGCGGTTTCCGGCATCTTCAGCCGCCAGTAGTAAGTCATGGCAGCCGGGATCGCGCCGAACATGAGGATCACACGCCATACGTAATCAGCTTCCGGGACCGTCGATCCGACGGGATCGTCTTTATAAGCTGGGGCCGGGAACCCGGCCTTGAACCCGGCAGAAACGGCGATCGCGAACATACCGCCGGCAAGAATCCCGAACCCCTGCATCGCGAAAACAGCGGCGATGAATGCGCCGCGGGTCTTTTTATTAGCGTATTCGGACATGATGGTAGCCGAGAGAGGGTAGTCGCCGCCAATGCCGAATCCGAGCCAGAACCTGAAGAAGCAGAGAGTAGTCATGACGGCCTTAGGTTCACGCCCGAAAGAAAGTCCCGAAGCGACCGAGGAAATGACCATCAGCATTAAGGTCATCCCATAAACTTTTTTCCGGCCTAATTTGTCGCCGAGCCATCCGAAGAAGAGCTGTCCGGCAAGAGTGCCGCAGAAGGCGACGCCGTTGACGGCAGAGGAGACATTCGGAGGCAGACTTCCGGGTTTCGCGGCGCCGGACCGGTGGTAATAAATGCGGCCGAGAAGCTTCGTGACCAAAGATATGCAGAAGAGGTCGTAGGCGTCGGTGAAGAAGCCCATCCCGGCGATAACAATGGCTGTGAAATGATACCATTGTGTCTTTGCTGCGTCGAGTGCATTCAGAACTTGAAGCTGTTCTTTAGCCATGAGATATTGATTATATCCTGCGGGCTTTTCTGATCGATTTTCTTGTTATGTTTGATCCTGAAAATCGAGGGGGAAAAATCAAATTTTACAAATTACCTAAGCAAAAGAATTGAAGACACCATTAAGTAGGGGCGAGTTATTCGTACCTAAATCCGAACCAATTAGTAAATCAAACCGAAATGAATTCTTCAAAATCCGAATTATAACACCATTAGAAATTGCATAATATGACCAAAAACCCGAAATCCATTTTTTTCAAAATAAAATTATTTAAATTTAATAAGAAACAAATAAAAAATAAATACTGAATAAAATTATCTAATAGTATTTAAGTACTTCCAATCAAATACTCTTTCTGTCCGGGCTTTTCTATCCCACATAGGCACATAAACTAAAAATTAATGTAACCTAAAATATAAAATAAGAATAAAAAATATTAAAAAAATTTAGTAAAAAAATATTGAGGTAATTAGAAAGAACAGTGACATATTAAAGTAAAAATAATGAAATTATAGATACATAAAGTTATTTATTATAAATAAATTATACATAAATTTAACTGTGACATCCTAAAAAAGAAATGCAGACATTAGTATTTCGAAAGCAATATTACATACAAAACAATATCATATACTTCTTCCGTCCCATAACAAAGTATCCATTTTTCTATTTTATTCTGTTCCATAATAAAGTATCCATTTTTTTTTTTATAGTAATTGTACTATCTACCTATCATTACAAATACCCTTACAACTTACAATATATTACACAAATGTCATTACCTTTGTATCACACGTACTAATAAAGTTATTTTAGTTATTTCTACCTAAACAAATGGATATTTATTTTTGGGAAGGAGGGAGAATAAGAACTCACAAAATATGCAATATGTACATATTTTTTATTATAATGTATTAATATTTTAATATATTTAAGATTTCAAATTTACGGTGATTTTCATGCCAATTCAAATTGATCTGAAATTTTGAAACTAATTTTTCTTTTCAATGCCATCCAATCCAAAAAGTTCAAATTGAATATTCGAATTTTGAATTTTTTGCACACCGCTACCATCAATTGCTAACAAACATGAAAAATAATCCAAAACCAGCAAAGATTAGACGAAAAGCAGAAGGGACTGTTAACAGAATTACCAAACAGGAAACTCAAAAGATTGTTACCATGGAGAAGAGGAAACTGCAAATCATTACTGGTAAAATAAAGAAAGTATTCTAAATTGAGGATAAATAATAAGGACAAGAAGAAAGAAACCTTGGTAAACATGTGGTCTAGAAAAACCATATAGAAGAATAAATTCAAAGGTAAGAAACTAATGAAGGTGTTGCTCATAAACATCAGCCAGCCACTTAGCAGTATTTATCAAGATTCTTGACTAAAGATGCAATTCAATTAATAGCCTCAGATTTAGTTCCAAAGGTTGGATTGGATGGATGAATCTGTCTTAGTCTTAATCAGGTAGTGAATGTTTCTTCATGCTTTCTTTTCTACCTTGATGCTGTCATCTCTTACATTAGAGTCATAGGATAAGATTCCATTCCACAAGAAAATAAACGCAAGATCGACAGATCGATAAGACTATCGAACAAGAACAGGCAAGGATATTTGAACCACAAGACTATATCAGTGGACAGCACAATAACTACTTGCTAAACAAGGATTGCACAATATGTGTTGTTACTTGAGAAGATTGATCAAATACACATCACTTTCAGAACATATGAAAATGACTCTGTTGATGTATGAAATGTTGAAGAAAACTATAATCAGTTTTCGATTTTGTGAAAAAAATCTTCAAAATGTGTAAATCAATCACCTAAAAGAAACGTCCAGAGAGAGCTAAATCAAATTGTTTTCACGAACGACGGTTTTGGCCAATCTTTTCAACAGTTTTATGACTTCCGCTGGATATGCCGAAAGTAATCGATAAAAAAACAAAGAAATCGATCTAGATCTCTACGTGTGAAGTATTTGCATTATTTGGAAATCAAATTCGAATACGCAATAAACTGAAACAGATCCAGAGAAACTGACGCAAGTTCAAATGAAAATGACACAAAATAGGAAAACAATCGATAGACAAATAAAGCTTTCAGCCATGGAACTTGGAAGTGCAATATCGATTCTCCAGAAAACTCAAAAACCTGTAAACCTGTGAAATCATATTCTACACTCACTGTTCTATCCATTATTTTCAAACTACACAGCGCAGACCAATCGCTCGCATTCCAAATCCATCCTTCGATCATTTTCACAAAGATTATCCAGAGAACACGAATTCAGAAAATAAATAAATAAATAATTTAGAAAATCTTACTCTGAATTCAAAATTGCGCAGTGGAAATCAGCAGCATGAACAAATCGGAAAACTAGGCCTGAGGAGAGATTAGAAATTAAATTCTGCAGAAAAGGCAGGAGGCGAGTGTGAGTGAAGGAGGTCGAGGTTCGTCCGCCATTAAATAACTAACTGTGAAGAGCATATTCCTATAGAGCTTTGCGTATATACGTAGTAGTATATACGTATGTATGTATGTATGTATGTATGCTCCCATCACCGTGTATTTTGGGAGTTAACTAGGTCAGCACCTTGTTGATCGACGAGTACTCCGTTCTCATCTCTTTTCATTTGAAAGCTCCCAGGACTCCAGCACCAGACCAGCGTTGTTTCTTTTTTTTTTTATTATTTCTTTAATATTTTTTTATTATAATAAAAAATATTTATTTATTTTTATATCAAAATATCAGGTTTATTTCATCTAAAAATCTACAAAAATCAAATACTTAAAACACAAAAAGGACATACTTTGGTGTATTTGTATTCTTAATTTAATATTCTTTTATTATAATTTATTTTTATATATTAAAATATTATGTCTATTTCATCTTAGAAATTTACAAAAATCAAATACTTAAAACACAAAAAAAGAAATAAGGGATTGTTTGATTGTAGTTTGAAATTGATTTAAAATTAAGTATTATTTGATTTTTTATTTAAATAATATTTTGATATGATATTTTGTAAAACACAAATATATATTTTTACTATAAATTGTGGCATATGAATAGTGTCTTCGATTTTGTGTATTTGTATTCCTAATTTAATATTTTTGAAATAAAATAATTATTGAACATAATTATTAAAATAAAATACTTCATCCGTTCCACAATAGTTGATAAAAAATTTTATTTTAATATGTTGACATATTTTTATTTTAAATAAATTTATCAATATTAAACATATTTAATAAATATAAATTAATTAAATTAAATTAAATTTATAGCATTTAGGATTATTAAAAACCTTTTTATTTTTATCTCTATTTTCAATCAACTTAAATTAAATTCATAACATTTCACGGGCTGGCTATTAAAAATCCTTTTATTTTTATTTTTCTCATTAGTAAATAAATATTATTATCTATATTTAATAAATAAATAATTATATTATTTTAATATAATTTATGTGTTATTTTCAAAAATAATAAAAAGATTAAACAAAAACACAAATTAATACAATACTTTAATAAAAATAATTATTAAATATAAATATTACAATAATATTGTTTGATGTCTGGTGGTGTGAGTGAATATAAACTTATGAAGTCATGGTTCAAACTTGCATGCCTATAACATGTTCCAAATTAGTACAATAATAAATGATAGAAGAATTATGAAAGTTTGAAGGAAATTGTAAAGAAAATTGAAGCAATATGAAAAGAGGTAGAGATTGGACTAAAAATAATAATTAGAAGAAACATATTTCTACCACAAATAATATTCAAAATATCCCAAGTCATAAAAAAAATAAAAAATAATTGAAGATTATTGTTCGAAAATATCCCACGTCATAAAAATAATATAACATGTCATAAATATCCCATGTCATAAATGGTGGTTATTGTTCGAAAATTTCAATCGGAGATCTGCTAGATATTGGAGGATTACAATTGTAAATGATAAAAAAATAACTGAAGATTGAAGAATCATAAGTAAACTAACAAAAATAATGTGAAATAAACCAAAATATATTGCAAGAAATAAGAAATGCAACCAAAAACAAACAAACAAATAAAAGTAAGGACAAGATAAGGAGCTACATGATCTCGTAGTATGTGGTGAACTTGTAATTATGTCTGTTGTACATGGTCTGTCTAATATGATTTATCTTGTCGGACTTAGGCCTTCTCCAATCAAATGCAGTGGGTTGTGCCAAAAATTGGGGGAGGGGCTCCAATTCACCCCCAAATCCCCCCCTATTTATGCAGTTCTGTGCAGTGCTACTCCAATTACCTCCACTCCATTTTTCCAATTGGAGTGGAATTTTTGTAGTATTTTTGTTATTTTTTTTGGTGTATTGTGTAATTTTTATTTTTTTAAAATGATGATATATAATTTTATATTTTAAAAAGTTATATGTAATTTTATTTTTTTTTGAAAAATAATACAGTATATAATTATATTTTTTGAAAAGTGATATATAATTATATTTTTTTAAAAGTGATGTATAATTTTATTTTTTTTAAAATTATTTTATTTGTAATAGTTATTAATTATAAATATTAATTTTCATATATGTAAATTTTAAAAAAATATAAATTATATAGGTATGGATTTCAACTCATAATTTCATGGTCACAAATTCAAACCCTGCACCACCCGACCATCCCTTATGGACTAACAAAAAGGTTATTATTATTATTATTGTTTGTTTGTTGTTGTTATTACTATTATTATTATTGTTAATGGTAAAAGTTCAATAATAAAAAGTAAAATCGAAAAATATATTTCGAACTTAAGTGAAAAATTTCTGAGATTACAGATCCCTAGACAGACCGTACATAATATTGTTAAAGAAAATAAAAAAGAAAACTAAAAATGATAATTGGAAAACAAAAAATGATGATCCTCATGAGAATTTCTCTCAACTTTGTCTGATTGAAGATGTCCGCTCTTTCTCGCTAAGACCGCTTATATACGTATCAAACTAAATCGTTCAAAACCAATTTCATGGCGGTTACATTTGAATCGTCCAAAAAATCACTTCCACGCCGATTACCTTTGAACCGTCAAAAACTGCTTCCACGTTGGTTACCATAAAACTGCTTCCACGTTGGTTATTTTTGAACCGTAAAAAATCTGCTTTCATGTCGGTCACATTTGAACCGTTCAAAAAATTGCTTCCATGTCGGTTACCTTTGAACCGTCAAAAACTACTTCTACATCAGTTACCGATTTGAACTATCAAAAACCATTTCCACGTCGGTAACCTTTGTGATCAAGGCCCAAATTCGGATGGAGAAGCAGTCTGAAGGACCAACCGTCCGATCAGTTGGGTCCAAAAATCATCCCATCCGAATGGGTCTGACCCACCACTGAGCCAAGGACTCCAACTCTAATCTTATTTTTTGTACTCAACAACTTGTCTCCTCCTCCCTTGACTCCCAAACATCACCCTTTATCAACGCTAGCAATGACGGTTGAGAGTCTGCAACAGTAAAATTCGAAAATATATTTCGAACTTGAGTGAAAAGTGTCTGAGATCACGGATCCCTAGACATCCCGTACATAATATTGCTAAATAAAAGAAAAAGAATAACTAAAAAGAATAACTGAAAAACTAAAAATGATGATCCCCAATGAGAATTTCTCTGAATTTTGTCTGATTGAAGATATCCACTCTCTATCGCTAAAATTGCTTATATACGTATCAAACCAAACCGTCCAGAACCATTTTCATGTCGGTTACCCTTGAACCGCCCAAAAAATCGCTTACACATTGGTAATCGTAAAAAAATTGTCTCATTATCAGTAATCGTCAAAAACTGTTTCCACATCGGTTACCTTTGAATCGCCCCCTAGACAGACAATACATAATATTGCTAAAGAAAAAAAAAAAAAAAGTTGAAAATGATAATTGGAAAACTAAAAGTGATGATTCCCAATGAGAATTTTTCTTAATTTTGTCTGATTGGTCATCTCTTTTTTCGTCCAAGAACCGGTTCCGCGTCGGTTACCTATCCGTACCGTCCAAAACTATTTCCTCATCGATTACTGATCTGAACCGTCCGACACCATTTTCTAGTTGGTTTCCTTTATAACCAACCGTCTCAAGGCCATCACTCATATGAATATATTGTTTGCAGGGCCATCCGTCCGATCGGTTGGGCCCCAACAACCATTCCAACCAAATGGATCTGGCCCACCATTCTTCGTGAGCTCGAACTCTAATCTTATTTTTTGTACTCAACAATTATTATTATTATTTTGGTGAATTTATATTTAATAAATTAAAAAAAATTACATTAAAATGCTCATCCGTTCCATGATAATTGACAATTTTTATATTTTTGTTTATCTCAAAATAATTGACATTTTTCTCTTTTAGGTAAAACTTACTAAATAAAACATATTTAACAATATAATCAAATTAATATATATAACATCATACATCGTATAGGACCTACTCAAAATTTTTTTATTACTATCTCTCCTAAAAAACATAAATATTTTTATCGATATTTCTTCGTATCTTTTATAAAATTAATTTATATTAAAATAATTAAATAATTTTTTTATTTACTTATATTATAGAAAATTTTATTCTCTACAAAATGATATCCATTTTGCATATATTTTTTTATTGCGATATAATTTTTAAAATATTTAAATATATATACTAATTTTTTTAATCATATAATATATTAAATTTATTTTACAACTATCAATCTTATTAATTACATAAAAAATAATAAAATACTACTAATAACTCACTATTTTTAACTAATTAAATATGTTACCTCAAATACTGTATTTTTAATTAAAAAAAATGTATTTTGAAATATTATATATATTTATTTATATTATATTAAATAATTATTTAAATTTATTTTTTTATTATTAAAAATTCAAATTCAAACTCAAAACAAAGATTTGGTAACAATTTAAACTTTTATAAGTTTGTATGATTTAGGAAACATGATTTGGATGTCTATTTAAAATAAGGAGGAAACATATAATGATTACTTATATATATATATATTATTTTTATTTTATTTTATTTTTTAGTAGTCCCAAATTATTTGTGTCCGTTCCAACTGGTGTGCAAATCCCGGGAGCTAGCGAATGTTACATGGTGCATGCATGCATGCATACATTGGAATCTTTATAATACACGCTACATACAAATTTTAAGAAAAATAGTTAAAAATAAAAAAATTATTTTTATAATAAAAAAACATAAAAAAATGTAATATTTCTTTTTTAGAAAAAAAAAACATAAGTTTGAATGAAAAAAAAAATGTATATTAGTTATTGGAGCAATAATTAGATGATTATTTAATCAAATCAGCATCATAGTAGACATGTATATAAACTTACTTTCTCAGGTTTAGTTTGCAGAATATTAGATTCGGACGGAAATTTATTTAGTGTGCACTTTCGGGTAGCGGCTGCAGGTTCCCCGTGTTATTAAAAAAAAAAAAAAAAGTAGACATACATGTATGAAATATGATATAATTTTATATTACACATGTTGATAGCACATTATATAATTTCACAAAACACAATATATTATTGATTTCACTATAATAAATATATCATACAAATATAAAACTGCACAGAACATATTTTTATATGACACAACTATATGTTGTGTTATACTCCAACTGTCTCACTTTTTTGTCCGATTTATTCTAGATACGAGAATTCATATAAAGTAAAATTAATAAATGATTAAGAAGTGTATTAATAAAAATAATTATTGTATAATGTAATTAATTTTAAAGTAAAATTAAGATAATTATATATTTATTTAAGTAGATTAAAAAAATTATAAACTATAAAATTTAAGATAACTTTGTGTTATTAGATGTAAGTATTTTTTAATTAGGTACGAAGAATTATGTATGTAATATAAAAAATAATATTTTATATAAAATTATTGACTTTTCTTGTGAGTAAATAAAATATATAATTTTATTTTTAAGAAATCATTATAATTACATAGTAATAAAAAATTCAAAAATTCAAAAAGAACATGTAATTTTTTTTTTTATTTATGTTTATTATTTCGATATATTAAAAATAGAAATAATTATTAAACATTATATTTAAAAGGGTAAACTGTTTTTTTAGTCCGTAACTGGATCCCCTTGTTATTTTAGTCCTGGAGCATGTCGCAAACTAGTTCAATAAGTGAAAAATTTTCGTTGTTTTAGTCCTCCGGCACCGGAGATGCCCGCGTGGTTTGCTGGAGATGGCGGACACGTGGATTTTTTTATTTTTTTTTCATTTTTTTAAATTTTTTTTAAAACTTATTTTTTAATTTATTTTAAATTTTATTTGTATTTTTTTATTTGGTCCAATTAAAAAAAAATTAAAAAAAACGAAAAAATAAAATAAATCAACGTGTCCGCCAGGTGTCGCTGACCTGGCGGGACACCTGGCGGACACGTCACCTCCGGCGAGCCACGCGGGCGTCTCCGGCACCGGAGGACTAAAACAGCGAAAATTTTTCACTTATAGAACTAGTTTGCCCTATTTAATAAGCATTAGAAAAAAAAATTAAAAAAAAAATTAAAATTAAAATGAGCAAATTAAAGGTTGTTGATTCCATCTTAGGATTATGTCATAATGAAAAACATAGATATTAGTTTGATTACGGAAAGCAACTTTCTTAACATTACAATAACAAACTAATTAATCATACTTTAGGTGTGTTGTTTTGGATGAAATAATTTTTATTATTTTTTATAAGTTGTATTAATATAAAATAATATATTTATATTGAAAATATTTAGTTTTTTTTTTATAATTGAAATTGTGATGACGATAAAAGAACAAATATAATTTTGTGGAACCAAAAGAACTTTGAGGCCCTATTGCTTTTAAATATGATTTTGATTTTACACTATTTATCAATCTTTTATTTCCAAAATTATTACTAATATTTTTATTTCAAATGCTATACAAAATAAATTAACTTAAATTAAAAAATCATGTCATATATTGATATATATATATATATATATGAATAGTTGATTGATGCGTATAAGAATGTATTTTATTTTGACATCATTACTTGCTTAATTGAAGATGCCATCAAAATTCATGTGCTTTATTTTGAATACTTCTATAAATTATATTTTAAAAAAATAAATCATGAAAAAATTTAAAAAAAAAATTAAAATATTCTAAATTAAAAATCCAAGAAAATTATTTAAAACAAAGAAGTATGTATTAACAACAATATAATGGATTATTTAAAACAAAGAAAAAGTTCATTTGTTTTCTATAAGAATATATTATTATTATTTTTTATAATATATAATTATTGAAATAAAAAATCAAAGTCAAATTTAAATCTAACAAACTCTGAATTACGATTAGATTCTTATTAATTATAGTTAATTAATAAATATGTAGTTCAACTTAACTATAAACATAAATAAATAAAATAATTGAAACGTTTTGGGAAGTGTTTCTTTGACATTTTGAATTTGTAAAATATTGAATTTAAATTTTATAATTTAAAATTAATTTATTAATATAATATATTAATAGAAATAAATATTAATTTAATAGTTTGTAAAAGAAAAAAGTTGCAAAGACCAAAGTCGAACCCTTATTATTTTGTGTATTAAGGTTTGTTTGTTTTGATTAGTTTGTAAAAGAAATTGATTTTAATTTGATATTGAAATAATGTTTGATAAGATATTTTGTTAGAAACAAAAATTATATATATTTTTTTTAAAAACACAAAATTCAAATAATAAAAAATTGAAATTGTGTCAAAAGAAACAGAAATTAAATCAGTGACTATTGTACAACTAACTATTGTTATATATTTATTTCATATGGTATTGCTGATTTTAGTATATGCTATCTGAATTTTTAAATAAATCATCACAATATCATGTACTCTAGAAGAATATATTATAAGCTCTATTTGAAAAAACTCACTCTAGAAGAATATATTATAAGCTCTATTTGAAAAAACTCAGCATGTGCTAATTTGAAGAAATCATCATAATTGATATATTTTATCCGTTCCAGCTAATTTGTCCACTCTAACTGGGATAAAATTTTTTAAGTATGATATAATTAGTAAGTAATTAAATAATACATTAATAAAAATAATTATAAATTAACATTAAAATGACAAAAAATTTTAAAAAAATATAAATTATAAATTTTAAAATATGATTAAAATATATAATTACATTTTTTTTTTAAGAAAAAACACAATTTATGTGAAACAGACTGAAACAATAAAAAAAATTGACCAATTATATAAGACAAAAGGATCATTATATTTGTATTATATTAATATACACGACTAAAACACCGGCAATTAATACGTGAACTAAACGACGACGTCCTATCATCACATCCCGTGACAATTGTAAATTTTGTCGATGCAAGGAACCATTCAATCTCCCAACCGATATCCAAACTCATTACCAAGATACCGAACATATCTCACCTCCAACTAAAAACACCATAAAGCACGATTCAAGGATTCGATAAAAATAACTAAATGGTCGCTCAAAAGCCCATGAGTAAAACTCCTTAGGATATACAAACTTAAAATCAGTCGGGGAAAGTAAAACAAGTCCGTTTACCTTTTCATCCTTTGGGCGACTGCACCACAAGGTGTTCCGGCGTTATCAACACTATTCTTTCTTTTTTTTCGTTTGTTTGTTTTGTTTTTCAATAATTACGGCCAGAAAATCTTCAGTCAACAAATGTCCACACACTCCAGTTGGGGCTACATACAACGCAGAAGTTATTACAGCAGTTTGTAGTTTCTCCCGGGAATGAATCCTCTACATTTCAACTTCTTTATACCTCAAATCTTCGAACCTTGTTGCACAGTTTTCTTGGATCTTAAATCTAAGTGGATTCATCCTATTTTCCCGAGAAATGACTGCAATGATGAAAATAACTCAAACTAAGACGACTTAGTTCAAATAGGGGAATATGATCAACTTAAAACACATGAGAGACAAATTAAAATCAAATTATAGGAAACAAAATTTGTTCCTGTAATGAATATCCGGCCAGCATTCACCTGCTTTAGCTGATTCAGGCAAAAATTGTTTAATCGCAACATAAATATCGTATACCGAGACTTTTTTCTTAAAGGCCAAGGAAAATAAAGAATTAACATATCAAATTCATGCTTCTTGTTAACTTCAATATACGCAATCACAAGAGACTATATTATATTCGTTTTTTTTTTTTTTTTTTCCTTTTTTTGGCAAAATAGCAAAAAAACTCCTTTGTAGTTTGCAAAATTTGATGTAAAGGCTCCCTAATCCTAAAATTCTATTTTATCTACTTGTTTCAGATAATATTAAAAAAATACTCTCCCTGTTAGTACTTCATGGAGATTGTAGTAGACACGCTTAAATTGCGGGTATTCTTTACCTACAATGGGAGTGTTTTTTGCAAGATTATCTAAATCACAAGTGGGTAAAACAGAAAATTTAAAACCAGGGTCTTTACAGCAAATTTCGCAAACGACCAGGAAATTTTTTGCTATTTTACCACCTTTTTTTTTTTTGCTAACATTGTATACTAAAAATAATTCTAACAGCATACTCTGAATGATGATATTCTATAAGCTATAAGGCCGTATATCATTTTCTATAGATCGATATTATATTTCCAACAGCACTCCCTTATGTTCGCTGCTCACAATACATAATCAAATAACTCAATATTATAAATTTTTATAGATGTGTGAGCACTCGCAGAAATTTTTTTTATTATGCAAGCCCCAGGGACGAAGGACCCCAATGTCAATCTAAAAATTTTAATCTATAAATTCGAACAAGCTAAGAAAAGAACAAATGCGGCAAGAAGACAAATACCTTATTTTTTTGAGTTCCTGGCTTAGTTGTAGTCGTACTACTGAATCCGAACTTGGGCTTCTTTTCGGCAGGTTTTAAAATTTGAAAAGAGCACATCAGAGTCTCATCAACACTCATCATGGCACCGGCATTGTCGAACTCACCACAATAATTTGGGGCTGAAAATATTGTGACAAGTTGTCGATCAGCGAAAAACTCGTATCCATCTTCAACTACCTGCAGAAAGTCTCGAGGGCAGTTAAATCCACATATTTCACGCGGTCACTTTTATTGAGAAGACAAGTATTGATTTCAACCTGGTGCGCTCGACAAATAAGATCAAGGTCATGTTTTTGAAGAAATTCCGTCACCTTGTCGGGACCAAAAGTAAACGACACTCCTCTATCATTCATTCCCCACCCCTTAACATCTTTGCACGGATCCGACCACAGTAGATCACATAGTAATCCGGTTTCAGGCACGTCAGTCGGACGCTGTAGGTTTCTAATTTGGTCCAAATCATGAAGGTCAGGCGAGAGCCCTCCGTGCATGCATAAAATCTTCTCATCAACTAGGGCAGCCACTGGAAGGCAATTGAAGCAATCCGTGAATACTTTCCATAGTCTTACATTAAATCTTCTCTTGCATTCGTCATAAAAGCCGTATATACGATTCACGGATGCACATTCATGATTGCCCCTTAGTAAGAAAAAATTCTCGGGATACTTTATCTTGTAAGCAAGAAGAAGGCAAATTGTTTCCAGACTTTGTTTCCCACGATCCACATAATCCCCCAAGAATAAGTAATTAGACTTTGGAGGTAGTCCACCGTATTCGAAAAGTCTGAGAAGATCAGAATACTGGCCGTGAATATCGCCTGTCATTGAAGTCACCAAGGAAACAAAGAATTAAAATTGTGAAGTTTAAAAATTCCGATAGCATAAATGTTTTCCTCCATAAAGTACACAAGTAACGAACAATACTATTTCAAATTTTAAAAACAAAATGACGTGTCGAACAGCATATATTTCCCAACTTCTCACTGGCGCTCGGCATAGTAGAGAAACATCAATTTCTATTTCTGATTTCATAGTAGAGAAGCATATAAAAGGGAAATGTCAGTAATTTTAGGTAGAAACTTTAGTACTGACATTGAAAAAGATAAAAAATTCATTGGGCCAAACACTTGTTAACATTGAATGGATTGTGTTCTGGCAATATTTCCCCCTCATCTTAGGACCTCGAAAAGTAAGAAGCCAGTATTTACAGAATCACAGATGATGAGTTTGCATCGAATGCTTACTAAGCCCAGGAATGGTCATCAAGCTGCAAGGATTTTGACAAATTATGTAAAATGTTCACAGAAATCGCACTGTGCTCATATTATTTATCATGAGTTCGATCATGGACAACAGAAAAAGTGCACAGACTAAAATATGAAAATTTTCAATATAAGGTGATAATCAGCTACAATTGTTCATCGATCTCATAGTTACTTCTAACCAGAGTTGCATCAGGGAAACTCTAGTAAGCAAGATGCAAGCAATATATGTGTGTGTATCTATATATATATATATATATATATAGTAATAAAAGAATGAAAATATATAAAAACATCTCCGAAATTAATTTTTTAAATATCATCATAGAGGGTTAGTTACTTTGAATGATTTATATGTTGTGTAAAATTACTTTATTCAACCTAATAACTTATTTACTTTATATGACTAAAGTCCAATTTCAATTACCAGTACTCCCACTACAATAATAGAGGGATACCTAAACCATCCAATTTTGGCGGTGAATAGATTATACTAAGTCAAAATTTATCCTAAAACCTATCAATTATTTACCAGAAATTAAATATATACTGGCTGGTTAATGTTAAGATTATCTGCATGTTGTTAATTTTATATATGATAGTTGCAAAATATTATATATTAATTTACTTATATCATTCTTTATATTATGATCATCAGATTCATCACAATATATATATGTCCAAAATTAATCATATAAATTGTTAAGATATTTCAAATTTAGGGTCTTTTGAGGCAAAAAAAAATCAATTTAGAGTAAATAATATACTATTTCATCCAAAAATTATTCAATAGTTTAAATCAGTTCTAAGTATTCTAATTTCATCTTTCCAAATAAACATGCCAATAGTGCCGATAACTATTAATCTAATTCTATAGCTAAAAATAGTTTTGAAATCAAATAGCCAAAAGATGGACAACAAGAAGTCTTCCAATGGCTGTAAGGGAAATCTCAAAAGCGAAGACAATGTTAGCAATATGTAATGGAGCGTACCATTTCTTGGATCATTTTTCATAAGAGTAGAAGTCTTATTTCAAATGACATAACACTGCTACTCCTACAAAACAGCATATATTTCACAATGTGACAGGATTCCCCGCCACACATAAAAGCTATTCCAAGATTTCTTTTTCAGGCAGAGAATGGATTCGAATAGAAGGGACAGTCTGTCAAATTTGGACGAAGGGTTCCTTAGGATATTAGTCTTCTTGATCAGGAAACAATTGTTAAATGATTCAAGATAGATGTAACAGTTGCTTAGAGAGAGTAAATTTTTTGATTGAAGGCTTGATTAGGACATAACTTATAAGCCTTCTAGATCAAGAACGAAAAGTTAGCCTGTTTCGTCAATTAGACTAAGCCTGTTGCTCCAATTAGAGTAAGTCTTTCCCCGTTCATTCCAAGACACCTCATAACTTTTTTTAACAGAAATTTTCATCTGGATGCATTTTTCTCTAATGCTCAGAATCAGGTCAAATGAAGCCAAATTCAGTAAAAGGTCATAAATAGGCAGCTGATTGAGAATATGAAGGATTAGGACTTTGATTTAAGGATTTCACACTTTCATTGTAAGACGGTTATGTAACCTCCATCAATAGGTCCGCAAATTTTCTTCTCTTCAATTCAGACCCTCCTGATCTTTGAAAGGAATTCAGCCATAAATGGAAGGAAAAGATTATAAATCTCCTACAAATCAGCAATAAGCTTATTTCAACCAAAGTAAACAACAATATAATATATAACCTTAACCATGGCTGGAAACTACGATTGCGGCTGATGGTGGAAATACCTGATGTTACTATGCTAGCAATCAAGAAAAGCAAGTAGAGCTTTCCGATCAAAAAAAAAAAAAAAAAAGAAAAAAAAAAGAAAAGAAAAGCAAGTAGAGGAAGTTGAAAACAGCCTTGGGAGTGTTTGATTTTCCATGTGAACATCACTACATTGTCCTTCCTTCCACTTAATTCAATGATAATCTCTAATTCCGCAAACTAACAGCAATAATATTCAGTTTAATTCAGTTAGAAATGCAGGCAGTATCAAAAGCCTTCCTGCCCAAAATCCAAATATGAATTCTCAGCCACCGAAATCAAGATTCATCAATCAAAACAACAGTTTTAAGAGAGAATTTGTCCACTTCGACAAGGGCTGTAAATGACTTCCATTCCATCACATATGGGTGGCAAAAAAATTTTGATGGCTGATTTTGAAGCTTTCAGTATTCTGCCACTAGATGAGCTATTATCCATCCCAGTTCTGCCAACTACATTTGTCTGGTCCTCATTGAAACCTTCAGCTTAATTATATCGATTTAATTGTGTCGAGTTGGCTTATTCTGACATCATGGGGCAACTGTGTAGGTGTAATTGATCTATCTAGGCTGGAGCGTCGTATTCAAGTTGAGCTTCAGCCTTCACCTATTAATCTTTACATTGTGTCAGCATATCTCTATGTATGCTATTTTTTACTATGAAATGTGTACGCATTTTATGAAATGATATTATTTATTACAGTTAACTTCGACAAAGCATACACATATATGGTATAATACTTCTTAGCTTTTCAGCTGAACAGTAGGTGGGTAAAGGAGATAATATTTTAGAAAGTTTCGACACCTTGGAACATTACAATAATAAGATATGTTGAAAGAGTAGGATTAGCAGTTTCGACAACCGGGATTCTGCAGTGTATGAACTATGTGCATAAAAAGAAATGAGTCACTCTAATGAAGAAATAAGTAACAGTAACGATGGGTACTAAACACCAGATAGTGGCAACGAGGAAACTGAAATGTTAAAACATTCTTAATTATCATTTACAAATAGTCTATTCGTTTCTTTTCTCCTTTTTTTTTTGGAGAAAACAGTATATCACCACAATTATCCCGTTTGGATGAATTTATTCAAACTAAAAGTAATAATAATCATTCAAAACACCTGTTCCACCAAACACAACTTTCATAATTTCATTTTCCTTACATGAATATATAAAATGTAACAATTACTCATCATTAGTACATTCAAATACGTACTCGAATATCTTATCCTATCAAACCCCTCACCAACACACCCTACACTGGTCAATCATATCGTCCAATAGTATTTCATTTTAAATCAAATTTATACTAACTTACTATTGATTACTATTCATATCGAGGAAAAACACACAACAGAGCAATAAAAAACAACATCCAAACACAAATAGATAGAAAATCAAATGACTCACATATCATACAAAAAATGCCCTATCAATCAAGCCATACCCTGACACAATCGAATTAAGTAATCAACAATCACAAGATGCGACCCTAAAATTATCCCTACACAAGCATCTAATTCCCAAACACTCCATCTCTACATCGAAAACTTCAAACATTCACAACCAAAGCCATCCCTAAACTGAGACACATTTCTACACCAAAACACAACAATTTATCTTTGTCAACTACCATCAATTTTTACTTCTATTCTTTGGTCCAAACTTCGAAAATCAAACTAGCAATTCATCTCATAAAGTGAGTATAATATCCGATCATCACATTTCAAGAAGATAAAAACCTAATTCCACCCCCAATTCAAGTCAAGCAACGACGAAACCCACAAAATCAAAACAAAAAGCAGATAAACAGGCCAGCCACGAATTCAATTAACAAAAAACCCAACCCAATAAGAACAAGCAAAGTAAAACCCTAGAATTCGAATTAAAGCCATACCACAAATCTTAATTGGGGCTTCAAGTTCCAGAAGATTAGGCTGGTTCATAAAAATCTCCCTGGACTGCAAACAGAGCTGTCTGATCTCCGATTCCGACAACTGCACCTGCTTTCCGGGCTTCCCTTTAACCTCAAGCAAACGGCTAATTATACCATCAAGCGCCACGGAATCCATCCCTTTCCTTGATTCACCACTTATCTTACCATAAAAAGACAAAAAACCCTTCAAACTCCGGCCCGGAAAACGAACTGACGAAGAAAGAAAGGCCGAGTAGAAAATTTGGGGGCGTGCTGATTTTTCTTGGAAGACTTTGTGGGTGGGCTTTTTCGAAATGTGTTGTTCTTTTATGGTTGTTTTTATTCGATATTCTGGTTTTGGGGCTGTCCTTTCGATTAAATTTGGGTATAAATTACCCTCCCGAGTGAGTATGACAAGAGGACAGAGGCAGATAGCGACTGGCAGTGTGAGTCAAGAGAACGACTTCGGCAGACTTTTCGCGAATAGTCAAGAATTCTCTTTGTTTCGCTTTAATCTTGCTTTAATTTCAACGTTCATTAATAAAGATTCCGTCTTGATTATTTTTACAATTATTTTCTTTTTCTATTAAAGAAATTCTTCGCACGAAAATGATTTGTGCGAAACAGAGGCAATGTCAATCCAAAAAACAAAAAAAGTATACTAGTAAAATTATGTAAATTTGATTGAACAGGATGCTAAACAATGATAATAAAAACTGTATTATTTTATATATTTAACATAAAAAATATATCAATCTAAAATTATGTAAATTTGATTGATAATACATGGTATTGTTATATAGAGTACATACTGTATATTTTAATATAATACAAATATATTATATAAATAAATTTGATAGCAACAATATTATTACAAACAATATATTGTATATGTTAATATAATATAACATATGTTATAATCTCATTAATATGTGCTATATATGATAATATTTTGCTACTCCATCCGTTCCACATAATTTGTCCCTATTTTCTATTTTCGTCCGTCCCACATAATTTGTCCATTCTTTTTTTTGAAATATAATTATACACCTTTAATCTCATTTTAAATTTTAAATTTTATAATTTTTTTAATCTTAATTAAACTATTTAGTTATCTTAATCTTAATCCATAATTATTTTTATTATATGATAATTATTTTTACTAATACACTTTTTAATTACTTACTAAATCACATTTTACCTAAATTCTCGTATCTACAGTAATAGACGCATAATACATGGGACGGATGGAGTATATTTTAAGCAACTTTTTTATTGCATAATAGGTTTTATGGAGTTGACAAGTTTTGAGGTATATTTGAGAGACATTGAGAAGAATGTACGAAGGCTTTAGGCTTGATCACGCAACACAACGTGAGAAATGTGAAATTAACAAAAATGCCATTTGGGGTGAATTGACAATATAAAAAGTATTTGGGATTCAATTGCAAATGGGATCTAGGGATGCAATTGAAGAGACGATTTTGCAATTGAAGGGGAAAAGAGAAGGAGACTAACACATTCTACCACGACACCATATTTTTTTAAGGAGAGAAGTTGGAGAAGAAAGAACACGACGGCAGAACGCAGAGAACTTGGAGAAGAGTGCAAACAGCTTTTTGGGGCATTCTTCTTCTATTCTAAGTATTGTTCTTCCTTATCTATTTTTAAGAATGGAAGACATTGTGAACTTTTTCAATTGTTGTGTTTTCAATTTCTATGAATTCCGAGTAATTTCATTTCTAGCATAGGTGTAAATTGATATTTGAGATTGAATTTGTAAGACTTAGTTTTGTTTAATTTGGTGTTCATCGATATTAAGTATTTCTAATTCTTCTAATTTATAAGTTTAGAAATCTTAAATTGATTATTGCGCACGTATTGATATGAGATTTCGTAGCTAAATTGAAGATTGATACCCGTAATTGTATAATTTCTCAATTGGTGTAGCAACCTAGAGGAATACTCTAGGGAAGAATTAGAATCAAAATTAAACAAATCCGCGTAGGAATTTTGTTAAATTGGATTGGATTTTTCTAGTACTTAAAGCTGTCGAGTCAGTAAAACTACAGTTGTACCTAGGATTCTCACTCGATTAAGGAAAGAGTTAACGGTCGTACCTTAGCTATCGACAAAGTTAGGAAAGGTTGGTTGTGAACGCGTGTAGATCAACTATAACCAATTTATCCAACTAGTCAATGAACTTGATTTTTAGTCCATGAACAAAATTTATATCCCAAATAGAAAATTCATGTCTATGCTTAGAGTTTAATCATCTTTGGTAATCCGTCTTGCATTTTATTTTATTTTATTTAGTTGAACGAATTTATTTTCTCCTCGTTTAGTGTGATAAATAAAAAAAACCCATTCTATATAGTATAATTATAAATAATTGAATATTCAATATTATTATTGTTCCCTGCGGAGACGACCCTATTCACCGAGCTACTGCATTTTGCAAATTTTTAGTGGCGTAGGAACTGATACTTTATTTTGCAGCTTTGCGACACGCGTGCACTCATACATACAACAGTTGATTTTAGCACATGACATATTTTTGTACAACACACTTATCATATATATATATATATATATAAGAGCTCAATGTGGACTCCACTTTTCTTTAAAATTTTGCAATTTTACAATCACAGAATTTTGAGATTTTTTTTCTTTTGATTTATTTATTGTTTTCTTTTACAGTTTTTTTATATAATAGTGGAGATACAGTAGTTTTTACATAGGAAATAGAGAGGGTGCTTGAGAAACAATTTTTTGAAAAGCTTTAGCAGTCAAAAAGTTAATTTAGGTGTTTAGTAAATTAGCTAAAGAGCTTTTTGGACAAAAAAACTAATTTATGAAAACCTCGTCTACCCAACGTTTTGAAAGAGCTTTTTTCATTTTAATTTTGGTTATTCCTTATTTATCCTCAAAACTTAATTATTTATTTTATACATATAAATATATTTTTATAGCAGTATTTATTAATTATTTTTAATATATTTAATTTATTAAATTATATTTTTACTTTTGTAAATTTAAAATAATTACTATTATTAATTATTACATATAAATTATCTAAAATATATAAATTTTTAAAACTAAATAAAATAGAAAAAACAAAGGTTATAAATTTATTTATATATATTAAACAATAATTAACATAATAAATATATATACGAAAGATTTATTCTTTTATATTTTACATAATTTCAGTAAAAAAATATTATTTTTTAGTAAAAATAATTTTTTCAAATCTAAATAATAAAAATAAAAATAAATAGTTTATAATATTATTATAATTTTCAATAATTAATAACAAAAATTATCATAAATTTCAAACAAAATGAACAAAATTAAATATTTTAAAAAAATAACATATCAATATCCTTAATAGTCATTTTATGTATAAACAGCTAATGTCAAAAAGTTGTTTTACCAAATACTTTAATACAAACCGCTAATTGAATCAGCTAGTCAAACTAGCTAATTATATCAACTAACAACTAAAAACTATCAGCTAATTACCAAACACACTATAGTTTTTTACAGAGTAATTTTTATGGAGAAGCAAGATCTGAAAATTTATCTCCTTCTTTTACTTGTTTTTTTTTAAAAAACAAAAAATTATTTTACCATTTTTCACTCTATATCAATAAAGTTACTATTTTTATTATACATAATATTTTTATAATTTTTTATATTTAATTTTTTTGAATTTAAATTATAATAAGATAACTTGCAATATTTATTTCTATAAATATGAAATATTTGTTACTAAAATTTTATTTATTTATTTATGAATTACTTTAATATATTTTTATTATACTTTTTTTTTTTTAGATTTCATTTTTTTTTACGATTTTGTACTTTATATTTTTGTTATATTTAGTTTTTTGGATTTAAATTTTCTTTTTTTTTAACGATTTTTCACTTTATATTTTTATTATATTTATTTTTTTGGATTTAGATTTTTTTATTTTATGATTTTTCACTATATATTTTTTGTTATATTTATCTTTTTGGATTTAGATTTTTTTTTTTACTATTTTTCACTTTTATTAGTAAAGTTACATTTTGTTATTTTTATGTATTAGTTTTATAATTAACTATTTTTTATGATATATACTAAAAAAAAAATTAAATTTAAATTATAATAGGATAATTTACAATATTTATGCCTGTAAATATGAAATTTTATTACTAAAATTTTATTTATTTTTTATGAATTACTTTAATAATTATGAAACTAAAATTAAATATATTTACTTTTGTAATATTAAATATATAAATTTGATATATCACAAATATACTCAAATTGATTTATTAATTTGTATATATATTTTAGTAGTATATGCTGGGGATTTTATTGGGTTAACAACGAAAATTGCCGGATATAACTCTCTATCGTGATGAACTCACTTTCCGAATACGATATTTTGACTCAATTCCTACCAAAGGTTACACAAAATTCGTATTGGGATAATACAAAGTTCGATCTCGAATTATGGTAGAAAATATCGAGACAAAGTGGACGTAGAGAATAAAATGAGTATGGAGGCTATAATTTCTTGCAGGATAAAACACTGAATGTGTTTTTTTCTTGTTTTTAATTATATTATTCAATAATTTCTGCAAATGGGACCAACCATCTATTTAAAAATCGTAAGTAACTTTCATTCAAATTGAACAGATACAAGAATTCAATTTAAATTTAAATTTCAAAATGAATGAGTGTGTTCTTTCGATTCAAATATTAATTTGAATTTAAAATAAATTGATGTATTGATTTAATTGAAGCAAAAGTTTGAATTTATAATTTAAATATTATTAGACACATCAATTCATAAATAAACACAATTTTGAAATTAAAATTCTAAAAAATTTCCAGAATAGCCTGTACCACTTAGTCATGCCTATGACTAAGTTAGCTATTACATTATGTCCCATATATTTAATTACAGAACTTTCAGATTTGTAGACGGCAGACTTAGGCATGCCCATGACTAAAGACGTATCAACAATCTGTTCCAGAATTTGTGTTACTTGTCAAAATCATATCAAAATTAGCTTTTTCAAGTGCGCACTCTACGCATCTCATTCCAAAGTTCACTTAATCCCAACATTCATAGGTCTCGAATAAATCCAATTACGCTAAAATTACCAACAATCCTTCCCCATTTTAGTGTAATCCTTGATTTATTCACAAATTAAATCACAACCATAGACAATAAATCCATGCATAAAAGAGAATGTCATGAAGATTGAATTTTCGCATTAGTACGATACACGTTACAAATATTCGAGAATTAGGGTGTCGCTGAGGATTGAACCATTTCAACTCATTTGGATACATATAGGCAAAGTACACACGAATTTACAATTCCCTTGGTTCTAACTTGACACTTTTCAAGCCATTATCCATATCCATTCGCGAGCACATCGAAAGCAAGTCCGAACTTTCTTGAAGCGGCAAAACTTCATGCTTGTATAGGTAGCTCCTTTAGTCTCGCTCCTGCATAATCAATTTTTCAAATGAGTTATTAAGAGAAATGATCTCAACCTACGGTTCTTGTAGGTCTGAACGCATACCCAGAATGTTTGAATAAAATGTGTCCTAATTTTCCCAATATGAGCTTTCCACATTGAATTTAGCTTCTAGCGTCATACTAGAAGGGAATTGGGTGCCTCACACTAGGAAGATTTAATGGACTTCAATCCCATCCCAATCGACGACTTGTACACTAAGTCTCTCGCCAACCCTTTTGTCAAACAATCGGCTAAATTATGTTCTGACCGAATAAACTCAACTGATATCACCCCATTCATGATTAAATCATGAATCATGCTATGTCTCACACCTATGTGTCGAGACTTACCATTATAGATTTCACTATAAGCATTAGACATTGTTGAGGCGCTATCACAACGAATAGAGATGGGTGCCACCGGTTTCAGCCATAATGGAATCTCATATACCAGGTTATGAAGCCATTCAGCTTCCTTTCCAGCCGCAGCTAATGCTACAAATTTAGATTCCATCGTAGAACTTGTGATGCATGTTTGCTTCTTGGAAGCCCAACAAATTGCACATCCTCCAAGAAAAAATGTCCATCCAGTGTTAGAAGAATAATCTTCTGCATGGCTTATCCAACTCGTGTCTAAGTATTCTTCCAAAATCGACGGAAAACCAACATATACAAGCCATAATTTAAAGTCGATTTTAAGTACTTGAATACTCTTTTAAGTGTTTGCCAATGATGTATACTAGGCTTACTAGTAAATCGACTTAATCTTCCCACGGCATAAGCAATATCCAGCTTTCTACATGTCATAGCATACATCAAGCTACCTATGGCCCTCGAGTATTCAAGTTGGGAGACGGGTTGCCCGGTGTTAGGCTTAAGTTTTACACTAGGATCCCAAGTTGTACCAACCGGAGTACAATTTTCACAATTGAATTTCTTGAGAATGCTCTCAAAGAAATGTGATTGTGTAATTGTAATTCCCTTGTGTTCTCGAATAATTTTAATTCCGAGAATCACATCAGCAGCTCCTAAGTCTTTCGTAGAAAACTTAGATGCAAAAAACATTTTGGTTTCATCTACCTTGCTTTGATCTGTGCTGAAGATTAGTATATCATCAACATATAAGGAAATGATGACTCTTCTTCCATTATTGTCAAATCAACTATATACACAGTTGTTTAATTGGTTTAAAAAAAAACCATTTGACAACACAACTCCATCAAACTTTTGATGCCATTGTTTGGGAGCTTGTTTCAAGCCATATAATGATGTAACAAGCTTACACACTTTATGTTCGTTTCCCGGTTCAACAAAACCTTCCGGTTGCTTCATATATACTTCCTCCCCCAAATTGCCATTTAGAAAGGTTGTTTCAACATCCATTTGATGGACAATAAGATTATGAATTGCAGTCAAAGCAATCAACAATCTTATAGTAGTGATTCGAGCAACCGGTGCATAAGTATCAAAGTAATCAATACATTCATTTTGTCTAAATCCTTGGATGACCTATCGAGCCTTAAATTTGTCAATGGTTCCATTGGATTTCATTTTCCTTTTGAAAATCCATCTACATCCCAAAGGTTTGCATCCCGGAGGTAAATCCGATAGCACCCAAGTGTTGTTTTCTAAAATAGAGTTCATCTCGTCATTAGTAGCTTCATTCCAAAAGGAAGCATCCCGAGATTCATGGCTTCTTCATATGTCTTTGGATCTTTTTCTAAATTACAACAATATTGATATAAAGATCCAAACTTGTCTCCCGATCCTTCAACTAAATAAAGATGAAAGTCTGTACCAAAGGACTTTGGTTTTCTAGCCCTTTTATTTCTTCGAAGTTCAGCCGGTTGATTATTTTCATCAATATTTTGATTTTCTTTCTCAGTTTCATCAAAGGTCACGTCCAGAGGTAGATGTTCATTACTCCCATGCTCATCATACCTGGTGGATTTGACACTAGATAAAGGCTTAGGCATCAACGTGAAACATTCTTCATCGAAGATTGCATCACGTGATTCAATGATTGAGTGTACAGAGACATAATCATTTGGTTCAAGAACGTAGAACCGATATGCCTTTGAGTGCTCGGCATATCCTAAAATTTTACTATTCAAAATCAAAACCTCACAAGTCTGCAATAGTGATTTGATTTGATATAAATATGTATTGATGTGATGTTTTAAATGTAAAATTAGATTTTATCCGGTGTTTCCTTATCACGTACAAATATACACGCATTAAGTTTAGCTAAATAGACATCAAAATTTTTTAAACTAAAGGCATAAACATCCTTCTAACACTTGAACATAACAACTTGTAACTTCATTGTACATTGCATTATTGATTTTCGAAGTTTAAAGGAGTTCTAAAAGTTCATTCTAACTAAGATACAGCAGTTGGTTTTTGTCCCACAAGTCCATCTGTTCCAACTAAAGCTCTATATTTGTCCCTCCTAGTAAGATTAGTACATTTATAGTTCAATGTCTTGGCAATCATTTCTTGAACATTATTAGCAACTTCGTGTCTAGATTTCCCTCCGCTGCAAGTTTGATCGATCGGTAGCTGTTCGAGGAACTTGATCTCATATTTCGGAAAAGGGTTCATGAACCAGAACACGGGATCCAACCATTTGTAGCCCCGGGCCGTGGTCGCGTAGAACATACTTGTTTTCACAGAAATTGCGACCGGGACAATTTGATCGGTTAGTTCAGCAAAGAGGGATGAGAACCTAAGCAAATAGGGTTCCCTACAAGTCGTGCCTTCGGGGCACATGACCAAGTATTCGCCCTTGTCCAAAATCTTTTTTATAATCTTGGCATCCTCTTCGCGGTTTCTTGTGACTCGGGCTATCTTAATTGGGGACAAGAATTCGGTAAAACTTGAGACGGAGTAGGCGATGGCCATTGTCATTTTGCGCATGACACCAGAGACATAGACAGGATCGATTACAGTTCTATGTGAACAAACCAATACGACCCCTCTCCCACGGGGCGGCGTACCTTTTACTTCGTACGGACACCCGAATAGCCACAAGATGTAGTAAACTAGTGTTATAGGAGAAATTGAGCCGACTAGGATGCGAATAAGACTTAATAAGACGGCGAATGGAAACCACAAGACGATTAATAGAGCCATTAGGGGCGTCGGCTTTTGAACCAACCGGCCGTCGTGGAAGATCACTGGCTTTGGCAACATCTCCGTTGGTACCGGCGCGACGGCGGGCTTCGATGGGACTATGTACCTTTCCTAAAATGGAAAACAAACTATTTTTAGATGAACAAAATGTGTGTAAATAGAAAATGAATCTTGCTTGAAGTTACAATTCTAATGTAGGCTTAAATTTAAGGGATGTACAAAATTGTTACTTTGTATTTGATCTATAGGCAATGGATGGTATCAAATGTTGAATGAAATTTGATTTTAAGAGTGCTAGAAAATTATTATATCGCAATAATATCAAATAATTATCGAAAAATAATATTTGATATAAAAAATAATTCAAAACAAATTCGATAATCAAATAATAATTTCTCGAAATAAATTTGATAATCACGTCGAATCGAGGTAGAACCTCTCTCCGTGAAAACAAATACGTCCCAGTAGTGCTTTTGGTTCGTAGCGCAACGTTCCCAAAGATAAAACAACGGTCGTATCCGAATTAGATGACATCCCAATATTTCAGAGTTTCGACGAACTAAAATAAGGAAACTAGTGTTGTGTTGGGAGACTTAATATTTAAGAAAGAGTTGTCGGATTTGTGCAGGACAACTCATAGGAAACTTCATCGGAAAAACTCTAAGATTTTGTTCTTTTATGGGTTTTATCTCAAACTTTTACTATTCAGATTATTCTATCCCTCCAAAAAATATCAAATCAAATATTTACTTTTTCATTTTATATTATAATAAAAATCTATTTTTACATTCAAAATATCACATCAATTACTATTCAAATTAACTTTTTACTACTCAAAAATCCATATCCAAAACTCCAAACCCACAAACAAACGAACCTAAGACGGGAAGAAGAATATAATTATCGAAATGTTTCTAATAAAGAGAGCTCTCAAAATAATTTAATCTTGCCACTCAATAAAATTATATATCGAAGAGAATATTTATGTTGTTATTTGATCATACAATTTTGTTGTAGTTGTTGTGCTCGAACGAGATCTTTTAAATCGATTATGCAATTTTATTGAGAAACAAGTTACTTTGTAAGATCCATAGAAAAATATATATTACTTAAAGTAGAATTTAAAATTTTCGTTCATTACATATCACACAAGCAATGAGAAATTGTACTACTGGTTGATTTCAAATAATATAAAAATAAATATTGACAATACATAACTACCATTGTTGTAGTTCGTTATTTTGCAATATTTTCAAAAGATAAAGACTCAAAAACTAGAATTGTCTTTATACACATATATATATATATATATATAAATGTATTATGTTATTTAGAAGTTTGGAAAATTAGTTCTTCCTTTTATCGAGTTCTAGTTCCGCCACTGATTCTAAACAATAGCTAAATGCATAAAACCTTAGGAAATAAGATAAGGAAGAAGAGGCAACAAGGAAAGAAATGAAACCTTGCACAATTTCATGAAGGGAAGATCGGTTCTTCGATCGCCTATCCCAATATCCGGTATGGTTTCGCGATCAAAAACTTTCCTAAGAGCCATAGCCTTGTTTCTTTCAACAAGTACGCCGGGGCGAGCCACGAGTCCAGTGGCGATCCCCTTATAAGACGAGATCTCCGTACCTAATACAATATCGACATCCATGTGATTTTTCAAAAAGGGCTCGACCATAATTCTAGGGTTTGCCGTGAGCACACATTTTCTTCCACACGATGAAAACACGCGCCATGTCTCCGGATGGACATCCTCCGAGTAATACTTAGGCAAGACAGCAGATGCTGCTGACTTGATCGCCGATACTTTCACACCAGCAAACGTCGCGAATATGAGCACACGAATTCCTGCAGATTCGGATACAAAATAGTATAGAAACCCTGCCAAGGGTGAAGCTAAGAGCAGCAAGATCAGCCTCAAAATTCCACCTACATCGAACGCGACTAGAGCAAAATAAGGGAAAGAACTGCGCCCAACGAGCAATGTTCCATCCAAATCCGCGACAACCGTGTGGTTTTCACGACCTTTTGATTCGCAACGAAAGATCGTAGCGATTTTGTTAGTTATTTTTTTCGTAGCCATTGGTTTGAGGATGTAAGAGATGTGCATTATACATTGAATTGATTCAATAAGATTCCCATATATATAGATAGAAAAGGGATCAAGGGAATTACACTATAATAAAATAATATTTTTGTAAAATAAAATTTTTATCTTTAAAAATATATTTTTTCTCGTTACTAATGACATTAGAAGCACAATTATGAATATATTACGTTAACTATGTGAACTTTAAGGACGAAATTTTCGCTACAAATATATATATATTTTTAGTGGAATGACTGTTGTTACGGTGCTGAATGCAAATATTCAACATTGTAATGGCAGCGCATTCAATGTGCGGATATGGTTTATAGTAATATAATATAAATGAAACATAATATAAATGAAACAAATGAACTAACAATAGATGACAATAATTCATACAAAACATATTATTATTGATTACCGATAGCAGCATATAAAATATGTTAATACAAGATATTTATAAAATATAACTGTCAACACATATTTTTTAATTAAAATTAGAGCATCCGTTATAGTTATTACCTTTACAACATTATATCTTTTATCACTCTCATCCACATCATATTTATTTCAACATTCAAATTATTTCATTCTTTCAACCGTTATAGTAAATTATCTCTAACACATTACCTTATTTTATAAATCCACAATAATTTATTTATTTCTATATATTTTTATTACGTAATAATATATATAAATAATTTATTTAAAATACATATTTCTATATATTTTCATTATCTAATAATTGAAATTATTCTATATAAATCAAAATATATATTAATTAAAAATAATATAAAAAGAATCGTAATATAATATAAACGTATAAAATAAACATATTAACAATATAACTTAAAAATTATTATTTTTATTTTCAAATCGTGTTTAACAATTTAATTTAAGCACTAGTTGAAAAGATAGTATTTTTTACTAGCCATATTGTTTAATTAAATATGAAAGGTGGAGAATTAGTTAATGAAATTTAAATATATTTATCGATAATTTATGTTAAATTTAACTTTAAAAATCTTGAAATTTTAAAAATTAGTGGATAATTTTTAATTTTTTTTGGTTGAAGGTAATGAGTTCTCGACAAAGGTAATAAATTTTTATAACTGTATTTCTTATCAGAAGTAACGAGTTTTGTTATAGTAAAAATCGAAAAGACAATGATAAAGGTAACGAAAGAGGTGACTATAACGGATGCTCTTATGTATTGTTTGTCTATTTTTTATTAGCTGATTAAGACTAATTAGCAATGCCCGTTAGCTCTAATTAGCACCCTAACCCTTCCCGAGAGTATTGATGAAGTTTCAAAGTTTATCAAGGGCAAATTAAAAAAGAGTTTTGTGTAGCATAAGCTAATAGAGTTCTTTTATTAATGGGAAGCCTAACCCTATAATTTACAGCCCCATTATATATATATATATATATATTTGGTTGTGATGAATTCAATTGATCTGCTACTTATAATTAATTAATGCAGTTAATTTGAGAGAAATTGTTTGGTCCCATTTAATTTAAATTTATTGTATTTTCTTGTTTTAATCACCCAAGAATTATCCATGTGTTTCTGCTATGATAATGCAAATCCATTGCACCATAACTCTACCCTAAACCCGTCAAACTCTTGTAGATCAAGCGGCGGTGAGACATCCCTCGCTTGAAGGTTGGGTCCCGTCGGGGGTGTGAGTGTGTGCATGTGTGAAAAAAAAAAAAAAAACTATACCCTTAACCATATAAATATATATATATATATATTATACACATTGTTCAACCTAAACCCTTTTTATATATACACTTGGCTTTTAAATTAGACTATGCCATTAGTTCTATGTTTCAATCATCTCTTAGTTATATGATGATCCTCTTGCCACAAAATTGTCTCTATTTGTGTGTACATTTTTTAATCTTTTAGTGCTATTTTTTTTAAAAAAATACATCAAATCTTTGTTTTTTCTCATGAAATATGGTATCAATTCTAAAAAAATATTAATTGTAGAATTCCAGAAACTTATCGAAACGAGTCTTTTGTGTGTGCGACTCATGAACTCTTGCGGAAAATATCACATTTTAAAAAATAAGACATTAGGATTTTGAAAATTAAATTAGACCATGTCATTGGGTCTAACATAGTTGAGTATGGAGGATAACTCATTTGACCAAAAAAATAACACAATTTTAAAGTTAACATCATTTCCTAGTTCGGCATTTCCCCAATTATAGCCTTGCAAAGTCACAAAGATTTCCTAGTTCGGCATTTCCCCAATTATAGCTTGAAAAGTCACCAAAGATTTCCTAGTTCGGCATTTCCCTAATTTTAAATTTCGTTTTTTTTATTGGACAATAGTTTTTTTACAATTTTTAATAAAAATATATTATTTTATTTTATAAAAATCATATCAAAATACTATTTAAATCAAAATTCAAACTCAATACACTCATTATAAGTTTGTCTAATTGTTCAATATTTGTCCAGTAACTCTCTGAGTCACTTCTATCAAATTGCTCCATTGGCAAATTGACTCATGGGCATGTCTTCTCTTATTTATTTCCGCATTATATAATTTATACTCAAATTTTTCTGTTTTCATGATCATCACCTAGTATTAAAACTATGAAAAAAACAAAAAAAGTATTTAGAAGCTTCCATGTAAATTTTTTAGGAGATGATTATGGTTGTTCAGTGAAATAGTTTGAAATGATGTTTTTTTGATGTAAAATATAAAAATTATGTAGATAATATAAAAATAATAAATATGAGTAATATATTAATTTTTTTTGAAAAAATATTTTGCATTGAAAAAATACTTCTTTTAGAAACCAATTATTTAAAAACAAAACTACAAAATCCATCGAAGTGTTGGAACTACTTATATTTCGTCACATGTTAGCCACAAATCACTACAAAAAAATAATATATTTGTAACGGAATTCCGTTTATAAAGTTCACGTAGTTAACGTAATTTCATTCCTAATTTTATCTCTAATGTCATTAGTAACGGAAAAAGTAGATTTAGAGACAAAAAAATTTTGTTACAAAAATAATTTTTTCTTGTAGTGCATGCAAATCATGTGGGACTACTTATGTCATAATTTTGAAATTGGAGGTCTAAACATGCAATGTCTACTAATGATATGGAAAAGATAAACGAATCATCGTGATTAAAAAAAAAAAAACTAGTCTGATTGATTGGACTTTCACTGGCGATTTGACACTATACTTTCAATTCTTTTCTAAAATATTAGTATATTATATGGACCTACTAAAAATTCATTTAAAATCTTTTATTTTTATATTTCTCCTCGGTAAACAAATATATTTATATATATTCAAAACTCTTCATTTATTTGTCAAGTTAATTTATGTTAATTATTAATAAATATTTATTTTTTTATTTGTATTATAAAATTTTATTCTTGATATTCATATTATATATTTTATTAAAATATAGTTATTAAATAATTAAATACGCATTAATTTTTTTTAATCATATATATATTAGTTTATAAATAAAATAATAATTAAATAAATCACTTACAATTCAAATTATAATTCAAAAACTCAATCGGTAACCAAACGCACCCAGTTGTCCAACTCCATATTAACACATGTAGATCTAATGTGTTATTTTTCTCTACCATATTTATAGCATTTAATTGCTAGTGTTTTTTTTGGTGTCATTCATCAGTCTATATTGGTTTAAGGTATTCCAAACTTCCTAATTTTTCTTCTAGATTTTTCTTTAAATTCCTTTAATTCTACGACACAAAATAAAATAAAACATATTCATCAATACGATCCGAGTTAATTTGAATTTGATGGCTCCTTTCCTAACACTTAATTGTGTTATTTCTTCAAACATTTTAAAATATCCTAGATGGAGCGGAGTATCATCTCCAAGGTTAGTTCATAAATACCTCAAATTTCTTCGATATATATATATATATTTATTTTGTTGTAGCGTTAGCACCAAAGTAGACATACGGTAGAGATAGTAGAGTTTTTCTCGCATTGTTGGTATGCTTGATTGCTAATATCCTCAAGTTCACAATTAAAGTTTGGTACGAAATCTCTTTAAATTTCTAGCTGATATTTGGGGCTTAAATAATCCAAAAAGCGTATGTTCCTTTCGGGTTTCATTTCAATTATTTATCACTCAATCATTAGCTGTAATTTGATTTGATGTTTTGTTAGAGAAAAATATATTTGATGTGATATATATATTTAAATGAATAGTGTCAAATGATAAGTGAAAGTTTGTTATAAAATAAACCCTCAAGTATTTAAACCAAACAGAGAAAAAAAGTCCAAAAAGAACAAACTTTTGTACTTTTATGTAATATTTCTCATGTATATATATATATATATATAATTCAAAGCTTGAAATATTAAACATTAATGTTTTACTCATAAATTGAATTGTTGAATTAAGTTTGGGTGTTGATTTCCAAGAAAATTGTTTAGAGAGTTTACTAGAAATTTCTCAGTGTAACTTATAATATTTCATCAATTTTAATTCGGGTTGCACTAATTTTTTCCTTGAAAAATATAAAATCAAACATATTAATTATATTATATTAAAAATTAATTTTATATTCAAAATTATCTAACATCTATTTATATCACATGTATAACTATTCAAATTCTACTTTTTTACTATTCAAAATTTAAACCCAAAATTCAAACCTCCAATCAAACACATAAACACTTTTTCTTATAAATTTTATTATTTCACAACTAAAATTAATTTAAACTTTTTTTCATCAATATACACTTTGAGAAAAATATTCTTTTATTTCAAACCCTTGAATTCAAATACTTAAAAATCTCACCATTACGATGAAATTTTTGCTCTGTCCAACTTTTATCCATGGATTGTCAAATATTTTTTTTGCCAATAGATTTTTCATTAAGATCTCCATGGTTGCCATTTATAAGATTGAATCATCCTTCCAAAGATGGATACTTTCAAACTCATGTTCTTTTTTTTATA